ATCAACACCACCTTAAACTCTAGCGAAAAGTTGGGGCAGAAATCAGCAATCAAATAATTAATATGAATCAATTGTATGTTTGAAATGGACCGAATAGGACCACATGTTTGAAATGGTATAGGGGTTTTTGATGGAGGAAAAGATCTCCAAGGTCCCTTCCAGCTCCGTTATTCTGCTGTTCTATGCTGTTATTCTATTAATACCTTTATGGTGCTTTTAAAAGCAATTCTTTAGCATTCAATCTAATAACTTTAATACTGTGAGCTTCACATCATTTAATCTGCACGCTGCCCCCTGATAAAGAACAGAGATGAATTTGAAGTGCTGCATTAAAAAAAATCAGAATTGGGTAACAATTCAATCTCATGGCAGCTTTAACTTGAATGGTTGAAGTTTGCACTGCTGGTTTATTACTCTGTTCTGGGACTATTTCTACTTAATTTCCTCTGTAGTGAAAAAAAGCTTGTCATACATGAATTCTTGATATATTATGAATTAATAAAATGATCAGCCTATTCTCATTCTGCAAAGAACCTTGAAGTTTCTTGGAAAGGAAATAAAAATGGAACTAAACCAAAAGATCTAAAACTCTGCTCCCAGCAATCCCCATCTGGGTTATTTCTAGAGAACATTTATCATGAGGCTCTTGTTCTGTTTGGCTCCGACATGGGAAATATTTTCAATCCCTGATAATTTTGCATTTTGCTCTTATCTCTTTTTGTTTTTGGCTGTGGAAGCTGAAGGCTCAGGGCAAGAAGAGCAAAAGATGACAAAGCAGGGAGCCAAAAGGTTTCCTACTACTGAGGCTTATTATTTATCATATGGCACGTTTGCATCACATTTTGGAGACAAAAACACAAGAGATTAAAATCTAAAACATTATAAATTTATGTTTTGTCTTCAAGACTAAATAGAATGGAATTCCAGTACTGGCAGGAAAATTCTGGGGGTTGAATTAAAGTTGCCAAGGTTGAAAGACAACTTTATTATACTAGAGACAAAGATTTGGGCTCCAAAATAATAAGTACAATATGGGTATTGTAGTACTAGTCTCAAAATAGCCTTTAATCTGACCCAGGAAATTAAAAGATTATTTGCTAAAGTTGTACTGACACATGAAACTCTGCTAAACACTATACTAAGGAGCAAGCAACCCCCCCCCTTCAGCCCAACACACACTACCTTGAGAAGCAAGACAAGGTTTCAGTCCAACTGGAAATGTTAAATGGAGAGCAAGCTTACTTCACACACATTCATACAGACAGGCGTCCCTGCCTTAAACTCTTCTCACAAACTCCCAGGGACTGGGAGGAAATGGAGGCTTCTGCCAAGGTTTTCAGCCAACTTCAAGATATTCCCTTGTGCTCCATTCTGGTATTTTTAAACTGGCTTGAAACTCAAGGCCATTCTGGAAAGGAGGCTAAACAAATGAATGCAACAGCCCTTGGGTTTTTGGCAAGAATAAAATAAGTGATCTGATCGCGATAATTATAGGGGAAAGAAAAATCATTCTTTTCCCAATATGAAGTGGGAATATGGTTGGATGCGCAGGTGCACTGTT